TGGGATTATGAATGCCTCACGCATGCTAAAGGCAATAAATGAACATATTGCAGACTTAATTTGTGTCAGCTAGACAATAAATGAAAATAAACAGTTATAGTACTGTGGTAAGATATTAGGACAACAAGGCCTAGCTTTCTTGTATTTTTCAATCCTTTTTAATATGACACAGCTACAGTAAAATAATTATTAGAAAAATGGATGAGACATCACTGATAAAAATCAACCATATGGTGAGCCAGAAATGATGCACAATTCAGAAAGCATGTGAAAAAGATGGGTAGTTTCTAGCCCAGATGAATTTTCCTCATTCTTCATTACTAATGAAATGTCACTTTTGGTTATAATGGAGTTATTAGTGCTCCATTATATAATACAGTGGACCATAATAATAATAATAATAATAATAATAATAATAATAAATATAATAGCTACAAGCAAGTTTGGTGGTGCTAGTGGCACAGAAATCGAAAAAATTACTGTAAACATTAATGACCTTGGAGTATATGTTTGCTGATAGTATAGTTTGTAAAAACAAAATCATATTCTTTTATGCACAATATAAAATGCTGTGATGGTTCCGCTGCATGATATAATTTCATTTATTTGCTAATGGACTCTCTTGCATAGAAAAAAATTGCTGATTGCTTCATTGAAGTGACTAAAGAGATAGTTCACCTCTGTATTATCAACAAATATGTCTGGGATCAAGCGATCCATTTCAGCCGAGCTGACATAAACGTGGAATTTTCCATGTAGTCAGGTGAACTGTACTGTGAGGCTGACACTAAAGGTGTGTTTAAAGCTCATATTATCATTAGTATTTGAGCTAAAAGGGGTTGAGGTCAGGCTTCCTACTGAAATTTTAGACTGACAAATGGAGCTGGAACACGAGTAAATGACTATGGGGAAAATTGAAGACAAAGCAGATTTTAATGGAACATCACTCTAAAACTGTACAGGGTCTATGCAGGTTCATTCACAGTCACGACAGCCACATATAACATGAAATAAGCTTACTTCTAAGCCTTATTGTCTCTGATAGTGGGTTCTGAAATGGAACATTTAAGATCTAAATATATTGCTTTACTTGCACTTAGGCTTAAATTTGAAAGCCTTAGTGGTTAAAAAGCCTCCCTGTGTCACAAATCACGCATGTCCATCAATCACTACTGCCTCTGCTTTTAGATGTACTTTGAAAATAAAGCTTAAATGGCAGAATTACAACACGCCATTGTCAGGCCTCCTACTCTTCTGTGTCGCCCCCTATCAGTTCTGTGTGGAGTCGCGGAACCAACTCTAAATCTCTTCAATTACTACAGGTTTGATGTTTTGGTTCTCGTTCGAAATTGCTTTAAACTCAGTGCACCGGCATAAAGCTAATTAATTATTTTCAAGTTACTTGTGCAAGTCCACAATAAAACATGACGAAACATAATAAACATAAAACGAAAATACTATCTATATTAAATGTATTTTTTATACACAATTATTATGATCTAGACCTTTTTTTTTTTTATCTCTTGGCTTACACATTCACACACACACACACACACACACACACACACACACACATATATAGTAGAGATAAATAAAAAATGTAATACAATTTAATACAATATCATTATTTCTCAGATAGCATTTGCATCTTTTTAATGATTAAATAAAATAAAAAGTTAAATAAAAATCAAAGTTAATTCTGTAAACGCAGTAGCCAATTTTGTTTACACAGTATAAACCGGTCTTTATATATAAAATGTTTATATTTTATCAAGAGGGCCCCTTGAAAGCTATCTACATATTTGAGGATCTTTGGCATAAAAAAAAACTGAAAACGTGTCTGTAACTAATAGTCCACGACCAAAGGCTTCCTCAAAAAAAAAAAAAAAAAAATTTTTTTTCTTACTTTTGTTTGTGGGGGGAAATGT